AGAATAGAATAGAATAGAATAGAATAGAATAGAATAGAATAGCTTTTCATACCTTGGCCCAATCTGGTCTGCCTGGCTGTGTGCGTGTGCGAAGCCCAGTGATGGAATCTCTCTTCTCTTTCTTGGCCAGCAGGTCCAGAGCCATCTGCAGACCTATGGCCTTCATATCATTCTTACTGAGGGCTGATGTCATGTACATGTGCATCTCCAAAAACCGGCCTGAAAACATAAAAACAAGCATGATTGGCCATTTCAGTGCCAACCCTATTTCCCTCTTTCTTCGGTTCTCTCTTACCCTCTGGCTCTTCATCTGCCTGGTCCATCTCCAGCTTGGTCAAGAGACTCACAAACCACTCAAAGGACTTCTGATCTCGGTTGATCCAAATGAAGTCCACCTGCAGGAAGTTAGAAGACATTTACAAATCTCATGAGATCGAATTTGTTCATGTTTATTAGCTTTGATGCTATCTATACAATGTAAAAATGGTATGATCATTAAATCATAGCAACATGTTTTAATTTAGCCAATTTCAACTATGAGATTCAACAAGACAAGATTTAAAAAAAATGAGTTGAACTGACTTGTACAACCAGATTGATTACTTAATCATTTAAGACAGCATCTGAACTTAAAGGAATAGTTGTCGCAAAAATTAAAATTTTGCTGAAATAAATAAATACATATTTTTTCTCCTATTTATTCTAGTTTCCATTCGACTGATCACCACTCTCACCTTCCTCAGTTTCATTTCGTTGTCTTTGATGGTTTCACACCAGGAATAGTTGCAGTTGGGGTAGTTTTGCTTTCTCATGCGATAACTGGGAAAAAAAAGACAAAAATAAATGTTACATACAATTTTTAAAAATTTGCATGTGGTTTTTTTGATACAAAGAAAACTTTAAGTCTCACCGGCACATGATACTCTGCAAAATGGATGCAAAAGGAGTGATGCCGATTCCAGCACCAATAAGCACTGCATGTTCAGATGCAAAGATTTGTCGGGTTGGGGTGCCAAAAGGTCCGTCCACATAGCACTAACAAAAAAAACGCATTACCAAAAGTTTACAATTCCTTGTAAGACAATCACTTTGAATAAATGAGATTACATTTTCTGTAGAAGGGGTGAGTGGTTAGGAATCAAGTACCATGGAACTGGAGACATGAAAACAAATTACGTACCTTAATGTTACAATATCTGTGACTTTCACTTAATTTTGCTGTAAGCTGGAAGACAACAGAAAATAAGTCTGGCTAATGTGTATTTTACATATAATGGAACATATGTTCTGCTTTGTTCAGACAGAAACTCACTTCTCTTGTAGCCGGAGAGGCATCTCCCAGTTCTGCCTGGGCTGCTGGCTCACTGACGGGCTTCTGGGAGTTTGTTCGTGTTCCACTTGTCCGGTACATGGTCAGTTCAACAGCATCATCCTTATTAGACGCCACAGTTTTGTTGCAGCTTGTGGACTTGAAAATTTCATTCTACATGGAGCAGAGTTATATAGTTTACTAAAACTGAAACCATAAAAAAACATTTTCATTACTTGAGATAAAATAAATGTTAAATGAGAAGAAAAAAAAAAATAAAAA